GGACCATAATTTTGACAACCACCTAGTTGGAGCCAGGATGTCTCAAGAGATGTGTTGCACGCCGAGGAGATGCGATGTCGCCATCATCTCGCGCTTTAGCTTTCACTCCATCTTGGAGCCTCTTGGCACGCAGAATCGGAGCGTATGCTTTTGTCCGGACTCAGATTAGAATCCGTGGAACCGAGGAAGTATCCTTGGGAGAAGCGGAAGTGCTGCCCTGAGTGGCCAGCGGTTTCGCTGTTATACGCTTGCTCAATGGTCTTTGGGCGTTGCGTGTATCCAACCCGAAACCCTAAACCCTAAACCCTAAACCCTAAACCCTAAACCCTAAACCCTAAACCCTAAACCCTAAACCCTAAACAGTGGCACCTTTGCATTCCGAGCTTTGCGGAGCGTCACTTCGGACTCGGAGCTCAGAGCTTTGCAGTGTCGCTGCAGCTCTTCGAAGGTTTCAGCGAGAGATGAAGCACAAGCTGATGGAGCTAGGCTGGGCTGCTGTTAGGGAACTTACGTTAAGTTACCGTAATCAGGAAGCCTTATTATTAATAATATTACGATTAATAATAATAATATTAGTATTATTCTTATTCTTATTTTATTAATGCTATTATTATTATTATTATTATTATTATGGTTTTTATTTGCTATATATCTCCATTATGGTAACTTCAACTAACTTCCTTACCCCCGCGGGGCCCGGGGCCCAGTCGGTTCTGGCGCCCTTGGACCGGCGCCCCGGAGTCGCCACTTGGAGGATCCTGGGACTTCGTAAGTAGGGTTATAAGTACTCCACGGTGTAGGGTTTAGGGTTTGGGGTTTAGGGTTTAGGGTTTAGAGTTTGTAGGTATAAGTACCTTAATTGGGGGTTATAGTACCTTCATTGGGGGTTATAAGTAATTTAATTGGGGTTGGGGGTTATAAGTACCATAAGTGGGGGTTACAAGTACCTTCATGGGGGTTATAAGTACCTTCATTGGGGGTTATAAGTACCTTAATAGGGGTTGTAAGTACCTTCATTGGGGGTCATAAGTACCTCCATTGGGGGGTTATAAGTACCTTACTTGGGGTCAGTAGTTATAACTATAGTTATCCTAATATCCCAGGTCAGTGATAATAACCTTAGCTACTAAGACCCATGATCCTTTAAGCAGGGAAGCTCATCGACGTGAAGGATGACATCAACCTCGAGCAGCAGGCCAGCCGTTTTGGGACTTCGGGTTTCGGGTTAAGGGCTTCGGGTTTAGGGTTTAGGGTTTAGATATGTTTAGGGTCTTGGGTTTAGGGTTTAGCACAGGCGGAGTTTTCCCGAGGATGTTTTTTCCGTCTGCCGGCTTTTGCTGCAGGCGACCCAATGCGATGCACTGAAGCAGCTGCCCTTCTTCTCAGACAACAGCGAGTCCATGCACGAATTCGCCGGAGCCTCTTAAAAATCCGAACACCCACTGTAGAACCTTCAATGAAGCACCCCTAAACCAAGATCACGGCTGACCAACCGAGGTTGCTGAGCTCGCGATGAACACGCCAGAGCCCCGCAAACAACCGTTGCCTGCTGTTGATGATAAAAGTCCTGCATTACCATAAGGACCCTAAACTATGGGAATTATGGTATATTCCTTATTATGGGTAAGTTAAACCCTAAACCCTAATCCCTAAACCCTAAACCCTAAACCCTAAGCCCTAAACTATGGGAATTATGGTGTATCCCTTCTTGCGGGTACTGCGGGATTTTTATCATCAACCCTATGGCCCCAATGAATCTGAAAGCATGAACCCGACCTGACTGAGGTCAACGTACTGGTATCAACCTGGTAAAGTTCTCTTAGAGGCCTGAAAGGGGGCGGGGTTTAGGGTTTAGGGTTTAGGGCCTCTTTTGCTACTGCAACCCGGTTCCGTTGGGCAGGAAGGCGACATAAACTGCGACGAGATGTTCATTCTTCTTCGCGAGAGGCTTAGCTTGGTTGACGTAAAGGCCCGTGCGCGTGAGTGCAGCATGGGTAGTTCTCCAAGTTAGGGTCCACCTTCAGGGTTCCTTTAAGGGATCTCTAAGATTTTCTACAGGGGTTTCTACAAGGGTTCTATTTTGGTAGGTCTCTAAAGTAGGTCCCCCCTTTTGGGGATCCTTTTTGTAAGGGTGCCGTACCATTTTGTGGACCCAAAAGGAGGACCCTAAACCCTAAACCCTAAACCCTCATTTAGAGGCTCCCGCTCCGCCTTTCAGGTGGCGCCTGCGAGGTTTCATCGTGTGGCCAGTTCTTGGGAAGGCGGGTATCCGAGTTCGTAGGATGCGTTGTCGGCATGATGTCATAGGATAGTACGTTAAGTTATGGCGTTTCATAAAATATTTTGGTATAGTATAATAGAGCATACTATAGTATAGTATATGATAGTAGAGTATAGTATAGTACAGTACAGTAGAGTAGAGTATCGTATAGTATAGTAAATCATTATGTGTCGTTTCTCACATAGCGATACTAGTGCAGTGCATTGCCAGGCTCTGCCACGCGACTCCGAGGATATGTGGATACTCTACTATACCATACCATACTATACTTTACCATACTATACTTTACTATGCCAAACCATACTATTCCTCTACTGTATTGTGCTATACTATACCATACCATACGATACCATAGTATACTATACTAGAATATACTACATCATGTCGATTCTGCGTGGTGAGCTCTTGGCACGAGTGATTGTGCACGGGGGCTTCCGGTCTACATGTCATTGGCATGGAGTTGCCAGGATAGAGAACGATGTGATCGGCGAGATCGGCATTCTCGACCTGCCATTCCAGCATGTATTGCCCTAAACCCTAAACCCTA